TTTTCTATCTGAATTGTAACTTTATATGATTCTTTAATATCCCTGATGTTGGATTGAATTTTTTAAGGTCTTCCTCTTTTTGTTTTATCTCTAATTCTATTTTTTGATTTTGTCTTGATTTTTCTTCTTAAACTCTGCACTCCTTTGTATTAGGAGCCTGAAGTCCTGTTTCCCCTGTTCTGACGTTGCCCTCTTCAGACAATACAGGTCCCAACCCCCAGTTCTGGTGCAAGCAGTCTGGATTATGTCTGGCATGTTCTGCACCAGAACCAGAGTATAATAGCCCCAAATTGGTTTGTAAAGACATATCTGTTACTCTGGATTTTCTGAGAAGATCCAGAGCTCTCCATTCCCATGCCACCATGGTTGTCTCCATGGCTCACAAACCGTATTGAGGCACAAAGTGAAGGAACAGAGGACCAGGTAATGGTGGTAGGTTGGGGCAGCTTTGGGGCCAGAACCAGGTTGCTCTTAAATATATTGCCCCCGGAGTAACCTGGCCCATGCAGATAGAGCCTCAGATACTACAGTAACAATACTATGAGAGGTGAGTAAGGAAAAAGAGCAAACAAGCTACATCATTCCCCTTCAGCACTAGCCAACAAGGGGTCTGATGCCATTGTATTTAATTGATCCATCAATAATCTGGCCCTGCCCAAAGCCATGCCCATCCCTTACTTTGCAGAACAGAAATACATGTCCCAGAATGCATAAGCAAAATGAGTAACATAGTAATAATACAGTCATGTGTTTTCAATATCTTGCCTTCTTGTGAAGAGAAACAGTTTTAACAAAACAAATCAGATTAATTTTTAAAAGGTTGGAGAATTATGGCTTATCATCCTTGATGATCCCTATTAAATAAAAGGGCCTTTGTTGGAAACAACACTCTCACATGAGGGAAAAGATGCTGGCTCAGAGTCAGACTCAGTTTCATATTGTCCAACATTTCACAAACCAAAATGGAGATACCATAATTTTCACACCAAAGACTTCTGCTTCAGAGGCTATCAACCTTTCTTTCATTTGGTCTTTCCTTCTCAGATTTGGAGACTCAGGAGTATGTTGTGTTCTTTCTGAAACTGGATTAGTTGGATGAGAAATTCATCTTTGCTATCATTTTTTGTCCAAAGTACTATCTTCAGTGTGCCACAGCTTTAGGTTCATTTTATAGAACTACAACAAACTACAAATCTCAGAATCTCTCTCTCTCTCTCTTTCTTTCTCTGCCTAATACCAGGACCAGCCATAGTACAAATGTGCCTTGATAAAACAAAATAAGGAAAATCCTCTAGTCTCTAATTACTGTCTAAACCTCCCACTAGACTATTCACCCACACTGTCACGAACTGCTGAAAGGTCTACTTGTCTGTTGTATGGTGTATTAAATTAAGCTAATTCGATCTGCAGCAGCCTGCTTTCTGATAATTTAATAGCCAGAGGGATGGCTATTCTTTTTAATGCATGTTTGAAATGCATGACTGTCCTAAAAGTTCCAGCAATATAAGGATCTATTCCATCAGCTGTGGCATGTGTGAAATTACACACTATGGGTGTTACATTTTGCTACTAACATAGGGTTCTTGTCTGACATTAAATTAGAGCCCTCTGGTCTTTCTATTGGAGCTCAGTATCTCAACCTTTGATTCTCCAGATATTTTTGACTTCACCTCCCAGAACTTCTAGACAGCATGGCCAATTGTTGAATATTCTGGGAGTTGAATTGTTGATCTAAACCAGGACCAGGGAACCCATAGCCCTCCAGATCTTGCTGAATTTTAATTCCCACAAACTCCTGCCAGGGATCAGTATTTGGAAAGCCACAGGTTCTGTCTTGGTGATCTACAAAATTACAAGGAACTGTTCTCCAGGTTTTGAGGCAGAAGTCTTTCCCATTTTTCCCAGCTGAAATGGGAAAATGTATGCTCTATCCATATGCTACAGATATGATACATATGTTCAGCATTAACTGCCAAAGGCCAGAGACATGGGTTAGTGAATCCTGACACAGAACTCAGAGAAATGAAAAGCAACTCACATCAATAAAGGGTTGACAAGGCAATCCAGCTGGGCACAGCTGTCATAGTGCAGGAATATTTTTTGGACTGCATCTGCACAAAAACTCAGTGGCCATGCTCACCAGGGAATTCCGAGAGCTGCACTTTCAAAACTAACATTTCTGGTTAGGGCCACCAGTGGCCACATCCCACTGTGTTGCCCAGTACACTGAATGCCTTGAAAAAGTTCTGTCACTTTCATTTTTTTGTTTCCCAATGTTAACTTTTGGAGCTTTTCATATTCTTCCTTTTCTTGTTAAACTCTAATATATTCCACCATTAGTCACACTGCAGATGTTTTGAAGAGAAAGTGACCAATTTCGTGATTTTCTTCCAGGTCCAGCTGCTGTTTTGTTTTTTTTTAATGTACATCCACATTTCTTATCCTTTTTTAAAAAAAGAACACATCCACTGTACATCTTGGAGATGACAATTACATCCAGCTGCTAATTAGATAAGTAACAGATGTTTGCTCCCTACTTTCCTTCCACAAAATGTGCCATTTGAGACCTTTTGCTCCACTGCAGTGAGCCATACTTTGAATTCATAGTGGGCATATAGAATTCTCCATGGATAGACCACATTTCTCATCTACACACAGATAACATTTTCTCTGTTTTGCATGTTAATTGGTATTGAAGATCTATACGTGGCAGAACCTTCAAATATGCTATGACATTGAGACCACCACCTCTCAAAATCAGTATGCTATCATGGCCTTTAGAGAGAGTGAAGCAGCTGCTTTAGGCAACAGATAGCTGTTGCATTCTTGTATGGCTCAACACTGTATAGTAGGTCTGCAAGTAGACCCATGCTAGCCTGAATCATATACTGCCCCCTGACTTACTGAACAGCCTCTGAAACCCTCCCTCCATGTCTGGACATTCCTTGCATCATGTGGAGCAGGCAGAATTGCAGAAGTGGCTGGCTATGTTCCAGAATCCAGATGCAAAATCATCTGCACAGAGACTTCCAAAGGACACCAGAAGATCTCATTGCTGCTACCATTTTGTATCTGACTTCTGAGAAGATACTTCTGAAATCCTGCTTGCCACCCACAAAGCAGGGAATGGCTTCAGGAGCTGTTCAGTAAGATGGAGGGGGGAGCTTTGGGTGCTGCCAAGGGAGGAAGGGAATACCACTGTTGTTGTTGTTATATTTATAATCACCCCTTCGTTCTTATGGACTTCAAGTCCTCAATTTTACATATTCACAGAGGGGTAACCTCCATTTAAATCAATGGGGTGTGCCCCATTAAATCCTATGGGGCTTGAATATTCATTAATCTCCATTTTTGCGGGGGTGGTGGTGTCCGGAAAAATGAGGAAGAATAATAATTTATTGTGGCACCAGAGCTCTCTGACAGAGAAGGCTCAATGT